TCACACCAAACCTGTTGCAAGCAATTCTTTTCTCATAAACCCTCTCTCTGTGTCTAGAATAAAGACGAAGGGAGTTATTGCACCAGCACAGAAACAGTGTTGGCGGGCAATCTGCTTGCTGCAGAAGGAAAAAAAAGATGACCATTGTCTTTATTATGTGGATCAACTGTCTGAGTATTTAAAACTTTCTCTCTTATCCACTTTGTCCATGTACCCAGAACTGACACTAATTTAAACCCAAGTGGATTACAAAATAATTTAAATGTACAGCATGGTAAATTTGTTTGTTTCTTTGTTTCCAGGAGCATGTGCAGAACTCTTTAGGGCAGTAAGAATTCTTTTTGCAACAAAAACAGAATGAGGAAGAAATTGAAGTCTTGCTCTGAAAAATACTGTTTTCAATACGGACATTTGCTTAGCACACAAAATATATGAATAAAACCTAAAGCGTTCTTTAAACCATTAAGATAATAATGAAAATGCTTACTTCCTGCTCTGAGGGCCAGGTTTTGGCAATGGGGCATTGACAAAGTTCTCTTGGCAGAGGCAATAAATAGATGAATAACAAGAGATGCCTGAGGTGACAGGGTTAGGAAAAGTCAAGCATGATTTCAGAGACATACTAGAACCTTATTGAATTTATTTACATGCTGGGGAAATTTTTGATGTTTTATTGGTTTAAAGATGCTCACAAATTCTTTCTTGGATGAAGTCATAGTAGAAACATGGCCCAGTCCTAAAGTAATCTAATGCTATGGAATAAATATAAAGTATTTCTAAATCATTGTCTGGTACTATATTTCAAATATGTAAATAACAGAATTATATCTCTTAGTGACTTCCTTGAACAGATAATTGCCTGCTCTTTTGAATAACTCATGAATATCGAGGTTACATGAAATGAATTCTTGCTACAAAAGTCAGTTAAGAAGTTAGTAACATTTACATATGGACACCAATTCTTTTAGGTCCTTCTTTGTCCCACAAAGAAGAGAGAGGATTAAACTGATGAAAATAATATAATTAAAATGGTGGTAACGTAGGGCCAGGTGGATTATTGTGCAGTAAAGAAATTTTAGTTTGCAGAGTAGTCATCTTCTTTAATACTTTCACAGAAGTAGAGACTGTGTCTTGGGAGAAATATATCTATATGACTGTTCAATTTTATTGTAGTTTTCAAACATCGAAAATATATTCCTTTTCCTTTAAAAAAATATTTCCACCTACACAAGCGTTTTGTGGTGAATCTCAATGAAGTTAGTGTCCTAAAAAGGATATATCCTAAATATCAAAGAGTGTCAGACAGTTTCTTTGAGCTACAGAATCCCATATTTTTAAATAAATATGTTCTACTTGGTATCTTTTCATTTAGGGCAACTTGAAAACACAATTCTGTGTCTCAGTCTTCCAAGCAATTTTACAGAGGAAACTTTTTTCTTGACTTTAACCTAAAGTGTTGTTGAGATGAGAGAGTTAGAAGACCCAAAGAAAGAGTCAAGATGAAAACATTTGAATAATGAGACAGAAAAGCCAGAAAAAGACACAACAATAGTGGATTCTCATCCAATGATAACATCTTTGAAAACTGTCAAAAAGGGAGCTAATTAAAAAGAATAACTCACCCATTCAAAGAGAGCACAGAATGATGTTATTTTGGAAGAGTGGCAGTACAATGTGAACTGGCGAGTGAAAATGTTCTTTTGATATCTGGTGGCAATTGTTCACTGTACCTCATGAACCACATTCATTTTCATTTATGTCCCATTTTATTAAGCATCAGGTTTAGGCAAAGCCCAATTTTTAACTTATTGTCATCAAGTAGATAAGTTATAGCAAACTCGGACTGGATCAAAGAAAAAAAATCTCTACTGCATTCTGCAGACTTTGACCTTGGGTTCTAATTCCAATTATTCTATTTTACCTGGAATGTGTCCTTAGGGAAGTCACTTCAGCTTTCTCTGTATTAATTCTTCTATCTAAAAAATAGGTATGTGGTTTCCATGAAATCCAGAATATTTTCCTGCTTTAATTGTTTAATACTAAACATGTCTTTTCCCAGTGTCTCACCAGCAACCATGGTGATTAACTCATAGTCTGGAACACTCTTTCATCATTTCTGCACATGGCCACTTTACTTTTGGATCACTATACCATAATTCCTTATTGTATAAAGCAATATAAATGCTCTATTAGCATTTATATTCAGTAGGGATTTGTATCTTCTCAGACTCAGACCATAGGTTAAATAATTTTCGAGAAATAATATAATCCTGCCAACAAAAATACCCCTCCATACCAAAATAGAAGCGAGAACACAACATATTACTACTAAGCATTAGCTGATCTGCATATATTCAAGGAAGCACAACAGTGACTATGAAACCAGCACAAAATCTCACACCTTTTGTACAGTGATGAAGAAAAAAGAAAAAGGAATTCACTGTCTCCTTGAGAGACTAAGGGCTGCGCACATCTCTTGTACATCTCTTGAGAAACTCCTGAGCGAGTTCTGGAGTTCCTTTTTGATATAGCTAGAGGTTACTGGCCTAAAACTTTAGCAATAGCTCTACATTGTAAAAACTGGAGAGTAGGCTTAATCCCTAGAAAGATTTATCTCTATTTCAAAGGTTATCATAAGGATTCAAATTTACTGTTTCCAAGGATACACTGAAAAGAAAAGGAAAAGGGGAAATTGATTTATTTTCCCTTTAAAATAGAGAAACTTATTTTTATTTATTATAAAAATATAAAGAATCTCATGAGTTTAATTACTTAGGCAAAAAATACCCAAAAAACAAAACAACAACAACAAAACCCATAGATTACTGTTTTCAGACTAGAATTTTAGTAGAAACACTACATATAATCACACATAGTAAAGTGCAAAGCAAATAATATCTTAACTCCAAATAGAAACTTCAACATAGGAATCAGTTTCAGGTATTGTATAAGAAGCCACTTATTATCATTGTCTTTGTTTCATCCTCTTAATTTTAATCACATTTGACCAAGACTTCCCAGGTCTTGTCATTATCCACACCTTAAACAAGAATAGCACTTTCTCTGTTGTTCTAACCCAGTGCTGTCCAATAAAAATAAAATGTAAGCTTCATGTAGAATTTTGAATTCTGTAGTTGTTATATTAAAAAAAGTAAAAAGACACATGTAAAAATAATTTTAATATATTTAATTTAATACAATATATCTACAATATTGCTATGCCAACATATAACCAATGTAAAAATTATTGAGATAGTTTAATCTTTTTTTTTTTAACCAATTCTTTGTAATCTGGTGTGTATGTTACATTTGTAGCAACTCTCAATTTAAACCACTTACATTTCACATACTCAGTAGCCACATATTGGGCAACATAGTTCTACCCAAATTTGTACAGAAATGTGATACCTGCTCTCTGCGATGGTGGTAGACATATGATTCTGTTCTGGTATTTTAAGTTACAGGCCAATGGGATTACTTTTTCCAATTTCTATTGTTTCTGTTTATGGGTAATAATTACAAACATCTCTTTCTAGCTCTCTGAGTTCCACATTGACTGAGAACCAGATAAAAGTTTCATGTAGATATATACTTATATCAAAATATCAGCTTCAATTTAAAAAAAAAACAAAACAAAAGCTGCATTGTATATGTGGCTTAGGTCTGTGTCTATATTATATTTCCTAATCCTGTTCCCTAGGTCTAGCTTTGGGGCTGCCTGTCTGCCTGGGGGTCTGTAGAGCAGGCTGGACTCTTAACCAAATGTACTTCCCTTAGAGAAGGGGCTAAGTGAACTGGGTTCCGCCTCCCTGCAAGGAGAACCCAGGAAGAGTCTTTTTCCATTTTCAATAATCGGATAAGCAACTTTTTCTCTTCTTTTGGAAGAGGAGGGAGGAAGTTTGCAAAAAATATAAATATATTGGCAATACCATCTCACTTTGAGGAACAGAACAGACAGGGAAATAGTCTGTAAAGCTACTCCTAAATTTCCAAGAGGAAGACGATTGTAGGAATACAATTGCAATGATAGTAAGGAAAACTATGTAGCACTGTGTTAGAATGAGGTACACTAAAAAAGCTTTTTTTTTTTTTAAAGATTTTTATTGGGGAATTGGGGGGATGGGAACAGTGCTGGGGAATTGGGGGAAGGGGAATAGTCTAGTTGTGGAGGACGTTGCTTCACTGGCCCAA